AAAGATACCTCTCTTCTAAATTGTGTGAAATAGAAACAGGTTTTTTTTTTTTTTTTGTGGTGCTGGGGTTTGAACTCAGAGCCATATGCTTGCTAGGCAGGTGCTTTTACCTCTTGAGCCACTCCATCAACCCCGAAACTAGCTTTTAACAAGTAACTTTGTCTTATGTATTTCTATTGATTTGGGTGGATCTCTTATGAGGAGGACTGTTTTGATCTTTATTCCTGGGCTACATATGCTATGTTGTTATTATTGGTTTAATTGACAAATAAAACTATATATTTATGGTATACAAAATGATGGTTTGAATTAAGTAGATTTTGGGATGGCTACATGATGCTAATTAATGTATGCATCCCTTCACATTTATTTCTTTGTGGTAAGAACACTGAAAATATGGTCTCAGCAATTTTCAAGAATACATTTTTTCTTAACTATAGTCACTGTGCTGTTCGCCGATCCCTTTGATTGTCGAGAGGCATTTTAATGAAATACCTTTTGTAGACATGTTTCTACTAGTATATCATAGTTGCACAGGGAGTTTTGTGACAGTTCCATATTGGCATACAATGTATCCCCTCCATTATTCTCCTTTTTCCTCCTCCTCTGGAAGAATCTTTATAAGGAATTGTCCTGTGATTTATTGTTCAAACCAGGACATATTGAGTGTAAAAGATGACATTATAAAGAATGCTTGAACAACAGGTGCAAACTAGAACTATGACAGGCAAAGCAGGTATTGTAGACAATAGGGATACATCTCTTCCTTCAGAAGAATGCTTTGTGCAATTAGAAATTATCATTTCAAATTCAAATTTTAAGTCTGGTTCAACAAGAGAGGTTTGTTTTTTGTTTCTACTCTAGTCTCATATAACTTAGTCAATGTGAAGTCCATTCTTGAAAGTAAAGTAATGGACTGGGAATTAAAAACAAAGTAAAATGACATAAGAAAGGAAAATAGACTTGACTGAATGTGGCCATGGAGATGTAACAAAACTTTTTTTTTTTAATTCATATGTGCACAAAATACTTGGGTCATTTCTCCCCCCTACCCCCACCCCCTCCCTTACCACCCACCCCACCCTCTCCCTCTCCCCCCCACCCCCTCAATACCCTGCAGAAACTATTTTGCCCTTATCTCTAGTTTTGTTGAAGAGAGAGTATAAGCAATAATAGGAAGGAACAAGGGTTTTTGCTAGTTGAGATAAGGATAGCTATACAGGGAGTTGACTCACATGGCCACAAAACTTTTTAAAATCTGATTTAAAAAATCCATATTAGGGGTTGACAACCTTTTTCTATTCTGAAGGGATGTGTAATAGGTACTTTTGCTTTGTGATCTTATGATCTCTGTTGCAACTACGAGTCAACTGTGCTATGAAAGCATCTTAGGTGGCAGACATAGAAACAAATGGGAATGGCAGTGTTCTAATAAATTCTATTTTCCAAAACAGGAGGGACAGGAGGACAGGAGGGCAGGAGGACAGACTTGGTGTATGGGCTGTCACTTGCTCACCTCTGTTCTAGCCAACTGTTTTAGTATCTAGAAACTTTGCTCTCACAGAAGACAAAAGTTATTTTAGATATGGATTCTGATGTCTTCTATCGGCTGTGACAGGTTGAAGCAGTGGCTAATGCACTAATAGAGAAATGCAACGGGACTTACTACTTAATACACACTTCTGCTTCTGGATGTTTCAGTGATTCAAAGCAGAAAGATATACTTTAGAAGCAGGTGGTAGAAGGGAAACAGTGAGGGGCATTTTGAATAGGGAATGGCAGTTGTGTGGTTTTGACTAAGCGTTTTAGAAGGAAGGTTGTAAAAATATAGTCCAGGGGATAGGGGCTATCATGATTTGGTTTTTCCTATAAATGATTTTTTCAAAATGTCCAGATCAGATTTTACCTTGGGAGGGAGAGAAAACTACAAACACTTAAGGAAAATGAAGTCTTGGGTCTGTGTCCAACCTTGGAAGAAAGTGACTCAAAATGAAAGTACAAGACAGAGAGTCACTTTAAACTAGTTTGGCATTTATTGTGTAGAACTGGAATGAGGTGGTAAAAATAAAAGTTTTGGGAGAAAATCTTTAAATGTTCTAAAATGCTTCCCTTTAGACAGAAAGCACACATTAGCACTCAGGCAATGCTCAACAAGGACATGAATGAGATTAAAGAGAATTAATAAATGGAAGTCTGTATAAAGTAGCAGGAGACAGGACCTGTATAATCCTGTGACTAAATTTTACATAGATGTCCACACATCTACTGCTACATGGTGATAAGCTGTGCAATTGCTAAGTTAGGAAACTGGAGAGTGACCATAGTGACATGGATTCTAGTTTCAACTCACTGACAGGATACATGCAGGTATTTTACAGAGGGGTGCTGTACCACACATAGAGAAAACCTCAGAGGTCTTCAGTCCTATCTGTGCTATTCAGTCAAATGTAGTGGGTGATTTTACATTTGTAGGTATTTAATATAATTTTTGTGAGGGGGCCCTTTAATGTAATCAGCAAGTCAACTATGTAGCTACTGAGTGACTAGTAACAACAAAGAGTTTTGTCCTTTAGAATTTGTAGTTTATTTATGGCTATGTTTTATACATCTAGGGAAACACTGAGACCACTTACAAAGCCAAATACATGAAGGTAAATTAGTATTGCCTTAACGTATGCTCTATATAAAGAGACATGAGTGAACGAGTCTTCCAGAATGGAGTGGCGAGAAGAACAAAAAGGGAATTTCAAGGTGGATGACCAGCACTGTTACTCATTGAGTCCAGGGTTATGAACAACAGGTGGGGAGAATGGGAAATACAGCATTTAGGACCAGGAAAGGAGGCTGGGCAGAACTCAGGCACCTGGAGGCTCCTGAAGGACTCCCTATCAGAGGTGTGACAGGATGGTAGCTGCTTCTGAGTAATGTTTATATAGTGAATGGCATGTCCGTTAAATGCTGCCTACAATCACCTTCTCTTTAAATTTATATATTTGCAGTTTTTCAGATTAAACAAGTGAAAGAAATAAGTTCTTTAAAAACATCCAAGTGCCTTTTACATCTAGCAGCCTCTAATGCAAACAAATATTCTATAGTCCAGTCTCCAAGAATCTTTGCAAAAATATTGCTTTTGAGCACTGGGATCACTGGGATTAAATTTTTTTCCAGTTCTCTGTTTTTATTATTGTTATTGTTGTGCTGGGTGGGGTACACTGTAGCATCTACAAAAGTTCTTATAATGTGTCAATCATTCTTGAATTCACTCCCTCCACTGCTCTCTTTCACCCCCCCCTTGATTCCTGGAACAGTTTCAACAGGGATCATTTTTGCATTTACACACATGTGTACACATTATTTGCACCATATTCATCCTCCCACCCCTTTCCCTACCACCTTTCCCCTCACCGCCTCTTGGCGGAACTTGTTCCACCCTACTGTTCTCCGATTTTATAGAAGAAAAAACATAAAAGATAATAAGAAAAACATGGTGTTTTTGCGAGTTTGAGATAAAGATAGCTATACAGGGAGATTCCTTGTGTTGTATTACAACCCAAATTATTTCATCTCTACCACTCTTCTTCACTACCCTCTAGTCCCCTTCCCATATTTTAAAAAATCATTTGGAACCTTGCGTTTGCAAAGATAAATGTCACCTACTTTTCTAATTTTTTATGGCTTATCTTAGAACTATGAATTAATAACTTATGTGCTATTCAAGAGGCTTTTTGGTTTTTTTCTCCCTCTGGCATTCAGATTGTGATACTTTTGGAGAGTTCTGGTCTATATGACATAGTGAACTGGCCTTTGTAACCCCATGGGGACTTAAAACAGCCCATTTTGATTATAAGGACAAATCAGAGATACTTTCATACCTCCCATAGGCTGTCCTGATATCTACTGGTCAGTTGTGGATTCTAAAATATATTTTGGGAGATGCGGTGGGGTAGTTTGTCTCTAGTATGGAAAGAGTTACTCCAAGTTTCTATCTCTGAAAGGGCTAAAAAGTACTTCACATTGAAAAGAGATGTTAACAAGCCAGGAGAAATACAAACAAGTCCATCTCTCACTGGCCTTTCAAGGACCCAAGATCAGAAATAGCAAGTTCTAATTTCTCCTAGTAATTTCCAGGGGTCGAGGTAAATCAAATTACCTCTTGAACTGAGCTTGTTTATGTCAAAAGAAACTAATACTTTGTGGATGCAATCCAGAACTTTGAAATTTATAGATGGGGAGTGATATGAGAACCAAACACTGAGAACCTTGGAGCCAATTGTGAAGTGTATCCATTTACTCCCCACTCCCCCCTCTCCCCCAGCCACTGCCCATCACAAGTCCAAGATGAAGGATGATGATGACAGAAGATACGACATCAGGAGAGATGACTGGTCACTGATTTGGGTTTCCAAAGGAATTTAAGATTAACATAATTATGAGTCAAAGGTTGAACAAAAGTCCAAATGAGGAGTAGTAATGGAAAGAAAAGTGGAAAAAATGTACTTCAGAGGTAATCACAAGGAAGAAAGTAGCCAAGTGAAGAGCTTCATCGGGGTACAAGAATAGACTTTCAGGGTTTAGGACAGACAAAAAAGAGAGACTTAGATAATTTTTTTTTAAGGGCAATGGCAGTAGGTTTTCCTACAAAGTTTTAAAATTTAAATAGAATCTTCATCTAGTCTAGTCCTGGATGAAGGTAGAAAGAATGTTCTGGAAAATGAAAAGAATACTTTCCTTGGATGTGGTTTCACAATTTTGAAGATTTACATCTTCAAAGCTGATGTGAGTTCATATGACCTGACCAAGGCTCTGACTGGCAGGGCAGGGCCCTACCTCTGGAAATTACTTCACAAGTGAGGAAATTGAGAGACAAAGGTTGGGAGGACAGGGATGGAGGAAGGAAGGTAGACCTTGGGAGGTTTTGAAGTTCAGAGGGAAATGAGGATTTTTTTTTTTCCTTTTTGAAGAAAACGTTTGTTCCTTTCCAGGTACACTTGATTACTCACTGTTAAGTAGGCGGAAGTCAATGAATGGGTAGGAGCCTCGGCGTTCAGCAGGAAGCCCAGTCTGACCCCTTAGTCGTACATCTCCTAGAAAACAGAAAATCCAAACAAGTGTTTGAAGACGTTGCCAAGTGTGTTCACTTTTCCTCTGTAAATCCTCTTAACTAGTTATGTCAATGGAACCAACACCAGATGGTGGGAGAAAAATGACTCCCTTTTACCTCACTTACGAAAGTGATCGGTGGGAAGGGATGTTTAATTGATGCCAAGTGTGAGGAACTTGGCACTCCTTTAATAAATGATCCACTGCTCTCTCATATTTGCCTGGCCTGTGAAAATTACAACAACTAAGTTTTCATAGCCTATACTTCCCAGGACCATATGCAGCTGAGCCTGGAAGGACAAATGGTGTGTTGGGATTGTAACTTTTGTTTTGTTCTGAGCAGATGTAATTGCCCAGTGTCATTTCTCTGGGTTCCAGCACAATTGTTTTCTGAATATTGTGCAACTTCTTTTCCCTATGTTGTGATATTGATCTGCGCTGGGATTTTCCCTGAGGCCAGCTTAGCTCAGGTTAGACTCTTAGACACCCTGTAACCTATCACAGTCTGTAGAGTTGCTCCTACTTCTTAGTAGGCTTCTTTTAGTGGCTATGCTCATTTTACTTTTTTAGGGTTTATGTCCTGTCTTCCCAATCAAGGAAGGTAACAAAGTAGAGTGGAAGGAGTGTGGCCTTTAGCATAAGGCTGACCTTGCAGAAGCCTGGCTCAGACACTTGCTACCTGTGAGATCTTGGGAAAATTTATTTTCCTCTACCTCGTGTACCTCATCTATAAAATGAAAATGACTTCTTTTAAAGTATAATTGTTAGAGTTTCTCATACAATACTGACTGCCTGGCAATGTGTGCTGGTTTGCTTTCTTCTATACTCCTGCACTGCAGGGATCACATACGTCACTGGTCTGCTTGTCTCCATCATGTTCTGTGAGCTGTCTGGCACTTGGTGAACTCCAAGAGACTGTCCTCTGTTGACAACAATAGCAGACCAGAGTCACCAATTATTCTATATCATGTGGAATTATATGGAAGAGAGGTAGAAATTCAGAAGAACAGCTGGGTTTCTAAAAGAACTGAGTCAGTGAGGGCGTCCATGCTGGATGTATCGGTTCCAAGAGCCATGGGCACCTCCAGACCTGCAGTAGCACTGGGACCTCATCCTGGGAGCAGAAAGGAAGGACTGTCTTCTCTTCTCCTTTCCTAACCCTTGTTGTTAACCAGGACTGGTTCAGAGCCCCATCCACAGCAGACCATGCAACTGACAGAGCTGAAAATGGCCTTCACAGAGGCTCTCAAATGTTCCTGAGGTTATAATGTGCAAGCTGTGAGCTCCTGGGCTATCCTCTGCTTTGAATTTTGTATTGATGCCCTATTTCTTATGTTTGGTGTAACCTAATATTTTTACTGCAATATTGATATTAAAAGATGTTACAATAAAAAGAGATAATTTGATTTAAAAAAAGAGGAAGAAAAATGAAAAGGACTGGACACAGTGATGCATACCTGTAATCCCAGCTATGTGGGAAGCAGAGACAGGAGGAACACCATTTGAGGCCAGCATTGGCAAAAGTCAGTGAGACGCTATCTCAAAAACAGGAAAGGCAGTGATGGTTCATGCCTGTAATTCCAGCTACTTGGGAAAAGGAGATAAGAGGATCATAGTCCAAGGCCAGCCTGAGAAAAAGCAAGTGACTCTATCTAAAAAACATAATAAAAGCAAAAGGAATAGGAGCACAGCTCAAGTGGTAGAGAACTTGCTTAGCAAGTATGAGGCCCTAAGTTCAATCTCCAGTACTGCCAAGAAAAAAAAAATACATATATATAAAGTGTGAGACTGAAGAAAGGAATGCCATTGGCACTTGATAAGTTTGTGAGGTGGATTGTCAACTGAAGGAAAACCACCCAGAGGAGGGGAAGAGCTTCCCTTCCTCATAGCTGTCTTGAACACGACGTGCTTATAATGCTCTAGAGTTTACAAAGCACTTTCAAAAGCATCACAGTGAATTTATTGTCTTGTTTTTCTCACTGGACACTCACAGTAGTCTTGTGAGGAAAGTCACTTTTATGCTTATTTTACAAGTAAGAAAATAAGCGGCTCAGAGAAGACTGGCTGAAAAACTATTATTCATCCTGGTGCTCCAGCAAGGGCTCAGGCCCTAAAAGGCACTCAGTGAAAACTGTTGACTTTTCTCGAGCGTCCTGAGTGGATGGTGCTCCAGGCTTATTGAGAGCAGAGCTAGTATTAAATGTCAGTTTTTAGACATCAGAGGTGGCGCTCTCTCCTCCTTCCATCCATGTCTAATCTTATGAGTGTGTACACCTGGCTTTCAACATGAAACACAACAACAAACCTTAGACCTGCATGTGATAGAACTTGTACTTTTAGTATCCATTCAGAAAATACAGCATGTTAAAATTACAACAAAATCAGAGTTTGTGTTTATAGTGATGGTAAAATAGGCATATAGTTTAGAAAACCATGCACGGATGAGGCTGTAGGCATTTGGTCTATAAAGCTGGCTGGGCCTATGGACGTATTGACCTATTGCTAAAATTCCAGGGGCTCAGGTTTGCCATTTGGAATTTACTTCTCTATCAGTATTTTCCTCCTGGTATTACCAAAGACTTGCTCTTGACTTGGTAGATATCCTTATAAGCATTTCCCCAGAAAACATCTCATGATACTGATGAAGGTTTGAAGCCTCTCAGAATTTATTCCTGTTGTCCACCTGAGAGTGAGAAGCCATCATCATGTCAGATACAAGGAACATGGAGTCCCAGCACCACGTGGGAGAATGGGTAAACGGAGGGCGATGCCCTAGGAACTGGGGACCCCTGCTCAAGGGATCAGCTATGTGCCATGTTGGGTAACCTTGGACAAATCAATAACCACTGTGAGTCCAGCTTCTTAATCTTTCACTTGCATAATGACAGCAATTTTGCCTACCTTACAGGATTGTTGTGATGAAGTTAAATGTGTGTGAAGATAACATTAGCATGTATTGAATATTTACGCTGTGCTGAGCACTTCGCATGCATTACCTCGTATCATCAACCCAACAACCCTAAGTAGGAATTGTTATTATTATTACACTAGTTTATAGCAGAAGAAACTAAAGCCAATGGAAATTTGATAATTTGTCTAAACTCATAGAGTTAGTAAGAGGAGAGCTTATGTTTTAACTCAGGACTGACTCCAAACCCATGCTTTCAACCTCTTTCCTACCAGCATTTTAATCAGCATTAAAAATTGCATAACCAGTTAAGTATTAGCTTTTTCTTACCCAAATGTATGCTCTGATTGCTATTGGCCATTGATTCCTGAAAACTGAATATGAGGGGAATCTATTGCCTGGATAAAATCAAGATTGAGTCAAATAGATGTCATTTATTCAAAAAGTCGTTCAGTGGAAATGGGCTGTATGAATGAGATAATTAAATCCTATTCTGGATCAGCAGGGCATCCATTACTTTCAAGGAAGAAATGGAAAGTAATTATTAAAAGTATTATTTAGCAATACTGAAATTAGCTGTAATTAATTTACTCAAGTTTTCAGTTAATCAGAATTTTCATGATGTACCCCAATTTTGGGAAAAAGAGACAACCACAAAGCAAACTGATGGCAAAGATACCTAGATAAATAAACAAGATAAACAAAACAACAGCATTAACAACACACAACAAGACTATCAACTAAGAGATTAAATTTCGGGGCCTTATGCTTACTAACTACAATTATAGCCTTAGAAGTAAGTAACTCACAAACGTCATGATAGCCTTTAGGGGTAGTAAATAATTGCCTTCAAAAAAGACTAAACCAAGGACTGGGGATGTAGCTCAGTGGTACAGGGCTTGCCTGACCTGCACAAGGCTCTGGGTTCGAACCTCAGCACCGCAAGAAGGCAAAACCCATAAATATTCTTGTCTGATGAAAAGGATTAGATTATGTTAAAAGTACTGGAAGAAGCAGGATAATTATAAGTGAGCTAGAAAAGCATTTTAGAAATTTTCAACATGAAGAAAATTAAATACAAACGAACAAACATTCCGTGTTATGGACATTCTATTTAAATAGAAGCTGTAAAGAAGATGAAGGTTTTAAGCATACATTTCGAACACAGAAAGCTCTCATTCCTTCTCCCTGCTTCCACGAGCCCCTTCTGATGCTAAATTGCTTCAATATGTTGTTGAGAAGAGAAATAACTCAGTAACAAGGATCTCTGGGGGAGCAGAGACCACTAGGCTGTTGTCCTAAGCACAGAAGAAGTGGTGTCTGGCTGAGCTGCTTTTACTGGCCCCTGGTCATCTGTTTGCCTACAGCCTTATATCCAAGCTAAACAATTATTTCACCTATTCATTAGGCCCTTGTTTAACTTCAGCAGCTTTTTTTTTCCTGGCAAAGGAAAGGTGCAGTGGCAGCCGGCGAGGAAGCATTGACAGCTCAGAGTCATGTCCTCAGTCTGTTCTCATTGTGTTCCAGAAGGAAACAAACAGCAAGGGAATTCTTATTTTGAAAGGACTGCTGCAGCTTTGCTTCTTCAGGCTGAAAAACATAACATGTCGTCCTTGGTACTGAAGGCTCCGGACACAGGCAGCGAGCTGAGCTAAGTCACTCTTGGAGCCAAGAGCAGGACACAGGACCCAGCCCCTCACCTCCCAGGGGATGTGGCTCCGGATGGACCTCTCGCCCACTTGGCCTCTCGCACGGTGTCTGTTTAGTGAAAGCCTGTGCTGGAGCAGACGTGGATGTGGCCTCTTATGTAACTGGCAAAGAGGGTGGAGACTCCGACAGTGATGACAACTTACAGTGGCTGAAACATGGGCCATGTGACGAGAACCAGACTCTGGGCCCAACTGTGGGGTGTCAGGGTCATTTCAGGGTGGGAGAGAGGGACAGAGCAGTAGCTACTGTGCTGCTGGTGCATCTGAGAATGAGACGACAGTAAAGTTCTTGATATAAATCGGTCACGGAACAACATGGGGTTCACAGTGGGGGTGTCAGTAAAGAGCAAGGAGGATGGGACAGTGG